AGAAAGGAGGTTTGGGTATCAAGGACCTGCGGAAACAAAAGATAAGCCTGATGGTCAAATGGTGGTGGAAGCTTGAAACACAAAAAGGGCTCTAGCAGGATATTGTCCGAGCCATATACCTTCGCAACAAAACTGTCGCGGATGTCACTGCCAGATTTTCTGACTCACCTTGCTGGAAATCACTGCTCAAAGTCAAAAATATATATATGATGGGCAGGTAGACACTAAAATGGGGGACATCACTAGGCTGTGGAAACATTTGATTAATGGGTCTCCTGCTATTCAGGAACAATTCCCTCAGTTGTTTGACATTTGCAATTTCCCAGACTGTACTTTGAACAAGTTGGCTGGTGACAATGCCAGTTCGTTCTTTAGACGCAGGCTTACCCCTGATCTGCTTAAGAAGTGGTAAGCGTTGCAATCTACAATAAAAACATTCCCCTTGCAAAAGGTGGAGATGGTGACAAAGTCTTCTGGGGGCTTAACCAGAACGGCAAGTTTACTACTAGATCTGTGTACAAATTGCTGGAAAAACCCCTTGCTGGGTGTAACTATAAGTGGATATGGAAAGCCAAAATTCCTCTCAAGATTAAAATCTTTTTATGGCAGCTATCCCAAGATGCGGTACTCACAAGACAAGTGATGAGGGAAAGGAAGTGGCCCGGGAATCCTTGCTGTTCATTCTGCAGGGAGGTAGAAACCTCTAAACACCTTTTCTTCACTTGCCCCGTTACTAGGGTGGTTTGGAGATCTATTGGGGCTGTGCTGGGCACTGATAAGTGCCCCCAATAACTATTGGCAATATTTTGTTTGATGCAGTAAATTTCTTCCTGGCAAAGAAACCTTTTATACTGTGGGCTTAGCTGCTACATGTTGGGCCATCTGGTTGGTGCGTAATCGGGCCACTTTTGAGAAAAAACAGATTAAAACTCCTTTTGAGATTATTTTCTCCCTTTGTTTGTTTCTGTTATACTGGACAGGTTTGCAGAAAGGAGAGGCGGCTGGAGAGCTTCGTGCAGGTGCAGAGATGATCAGGAACGGCACGCTGCAGCTGATGAAGCTGTGTGACCCTGTCAAGCAAACGATCCAGACGTGAAGATCAGGGGCGGCCTCAGCGTGGTGAAAAATGACCCTGGCGTCCCCTGGAAATGGAGCTGGAGGCGATCCTCTCCGTCTACTCTCGTCGTCTGATACTTTTGTCTAGTCATGCTAGTTCGGGCAGTCCGATATGTGGTTTGCGTCTGTTTGGTCGTTCTTTAGTTGGCTGTAATAGACTTGATGGTAGTGTTACCAAGTTTTCGCCCCATGGCACCCGTTTCGATCGCGGGCGGATGTGGTGGGTTTCCTGGTAATGCTTGAACTCGCTCTACCCTCTTTCCCTCTTCCTGTCAACTTGAACTGGTTTGTATTTCCGCTCTTAGTAATGGAAAGGGGTAAAGCCCGGTTCAAAAAAAAGTGTGAGCTGAGAGATCATCCAAGAGAGACGGGAAGTAGAGAAAATAAACATGCCATGCATCAAACTAACATCCGGAGCTTACAAGCGAGAGACCACAAACTCGACCAACACAAGACACTACCATAGTATACAGACAGCGGTAGAGAGGGCCAAGAGACCCGACCAAACCTCAGGACGAACACAAACGGAACCCGCCCTGACGACTCCCAACAGGCTGGGAAAGGGAACAACCATGAACTGCTCTAGCAAAATAGGCATAAGGCCAACTAATGCAACGATCACTCTGAATCGTCTAATCGTTAAGGTCGAGGGTGTGCGCACACGAGGTAGAAGCAGAGGCCACAGAGCGAGCCTCGGCCTCCACCAGGACGCCGTTGAGGTTGAGGTCGTAGCAGTCTGTGAGCGCCTTGAGCTTGTTCTTCCCGAGCTATTTGGGTGTGCCCTTGAGAGGCAACTGGATCAGCAAGGAGACATCGCGGAGCTTCTTGGCCCGCTTGGAAGAAGAGGCAACTGGATCAGCAAGGAGACATCGCGGAGCTTCTTGGCCCGCTTGGAAGAAGAAGTAGAGCGCCCACAAGAGTAGCTGTGTCGAGCGCACAGCACGGTGCAAGGCGCTGATGGCCATCATGTATCCATTTCCATTCCTCTGCTTTGTAGTTTCATTCTTACAGGGCCAGTCTCCATAGAAAGTGCGGGATTTTTGTTGGGCAAGGGTAACATCCATAGTTTCTTTTGTTTCAAAATGTGATCCTACTCTGAACATGCTGACTGACGAAGATACACCATGTTCCTGCCTTATGTGCAACTCATAGAAGCATGCACGTGTAAGTTCTCTCTGGCCTAGATGGATGCATGCGTGCACATGTGCATGCGTATGCCAGAAACCAGTGCAACTCACGGGGACAAGTACACGTGGTCATGCACAGTCTCTTTGGTCTAGATGGATGGATGCATGCGGACTCAACTAGTCACATTAGAACTTTGTCAAAGTAACAAATCTGTTCTGGTGAACTACGACACTATGATATGCCTCTCCCAAGAAATAAGGCTATTTCTTGATAGGTTGTTCCGACGCCTTTCAATCCTAAGTCTACACCACACATCTTTTCCATGCATCTTCATTGAGCTAAAACTTTCGAATGTTACTCAAGCATGATTGGTAAGCATTGTTTCATCGTATTCTTGGAACTCTTCATTGTCTTCTCTTGTCATACGTGTACAATTGGGTATCGAGTATTTGATCAAGTGTAGAATGGAATCATAAAGAAATAAGTAAAGTTTTGGCCGAAAATGTATAGGGATGGCTGAGTATTGTAATTTGCAAAGGAGAGGAGATTATATAGGATGCATAATACGTGGAAAGAGATGGGTGGTTGTAAAATACATCTGCAATTTAGTGTGCAACATCAAATAAGATGAGTACTACGTCAAAAAGAAATTAGAAATAACTACATTGGGGGTGTGATTGGTCTCGAGCTCATTTTAATGTGTGGTTATGATCTTATACATTTTCCAATTGCTAAAAGGAAAGTTTTTTGTTGAGCCTTGCAAGCGAGGCATGGTGGTGCAAATACACTCAATTCCTTTGTTAATCATGTAAGATAGCTTTGGTTCACACCAAAACCAGAAGAAAATATGAATAGGGGGAAAAAGCATACCATGGCACTATTCATGCATCTAGTTCAAAGGAATGCAGCAAATGAAAAATGGAGGATGTTTCTCTTGATCCCGATTTCAAATGAAAAAGACTCATGAGATTTAAATAACATGTACGACTTTATAGAATACGTATGCACAAAGTACAAAAACGACATCCTTAATGTCAAAATAACATCCTAACTATATTTTATCATGTGGATTGATTTTAATCTGACTATGTGACATCAAAGTTTTTCTCTATTCATGTGGACCAACATCTAAATTTGCAAAATAAATAAATATATTTTTCCAATACTCCATGTTGTGCATGCATTTCTTTCCTAGTTGGTATTTTGCATATTTCTAATTCCAGAATCCTACTAACTAAGGAGACCCTAAATTTCAACTAAAAATATTCCAAAAGGTAAGCAAAGTAACATGCATGCATGTCCAGTGTCCTAGCTAGGTTACTAAAACTAGCTATTTGGCCCATTTGGCATTTTTGAGGGAGATTTCTCTAAATGGTTAATTTGTTTCTTCTCCTGCCGGGGCAAATAAAGAACAAACATATTTATATTACTTTATCCATAAGTGGATATACTCTAAACTTGGAAGCCAGGTTTTTCTTCTACAATCAAGTTTGAGACACTTTGTCTGCTTTAAAGTCATATTGTTTTTCGCAAAGATATCATATAAGCTGGCTTCTTTTTAAGATTGGGGAGCTTTTCAGTGCATTTCAACGACGCATGAATTTAATGCATGGTTTTTCATATATAAAATGGTTTGATTCTAGCTTTTGAAAAAGAGGGCATTGATGTAATTTGTACAACATGTCTTGAGCAAGATTGATTGAATGCTCCTTGCGGCATGTGCATGCTGAAATAAAAACCTTGACGGTCATGCGTTAGGTCAGTGAAGCATATCTGTGGCCAATCCTACGCAACAATGCACTAGGAATGATTGTAGAGTAAATGACCCAGCTCAGTGGGCAAACTCTAGGTGACCCACATGCACTTCCTGTGGCCACATAGGATTTTTGCCTGCCCAATGTTCCAGATCTTAGTACTACTCTCGTCTTACTCTTAAGGAAATTTCTATCATCCCGTGAGATTTCTGAACTCCAATTTGGATGTTGCTAATAGCACGATTGTATGAAAAATTCCTATTGATATGCACACCACTTTGTGCACACGGCACTCTTCGATCATACTATTGCCGGCGCTCCCGTTGCCTACCATTCCTAATACATTACCACTTCCCTATTGATGTGTCCGAGCGACAGCATTCACGCATACAACTACAATTCTAGAGAAAAAGGTAGCGATGAAGAACCTATTTATAACTCCATCCATGTACTGAGAATTGGCACACACACAGTTATGTCATTTATTGTGTGAATGTTTAGTTGAGCTGGTTATATATAGCACATGTGTCTGATTTTTCGTAAACTTCAGGTCACTCCTTTCAAGTCACCATCGCACTCTAGTGAGATCTCATTTTCGAGCTCACGCGCTGCCATTGTCATCTCCTTGGCCGACTTAGCCGGTGAGCTCCGCCTCACACAACTAGAGGCGAAAAGAAGGAGGAGGAAGGGCAAATTGTGACACATAGCAAAACCACAATTCAAATTCAAAGGGTTTGCTCTAGAATTTCTTGTGGGAAACCCAACCTTATCTATGGAACTCAATAAAAATCATTTGCTGAGGACAAGGCCGTTGGTACAGGCTTTCCTGAGATGGCACATAAATCGGACCGCCCGATCGCCCGCAAGATCCAAAAGGCCAGAGCAAAACCAGAGCCCCGGCCCGTCTACTAACAAACCCACGCCCGGCGACGAAGACTTCGAAGCTCGAGCCGCCCGTTTCCACACCCGTTCCCACCACCGCCCCCACCGCCCGGCTCTTCCATGGACGGCCTCCAGCGCCGGCCCGCGGCGGCGGCCGCCGCGAGCGCGAGGGGCGAGGGGCAGCCTCCGGGCGGGCAGCGCGTCATCCACTGCGACGTCGAGCCGGCGCCGCGGGCGTGGCCCGGGATGCAGATGCTGGCCCTCGCCGCCGTCCTCGTGCTCGGGGGCCTCCAGTTCCTGCCGGCCACCCACTTCCGCCACCCCGCCGACCCCTCCCGCACCTGGGTCCCCTTCGACTCCTCGCGCCACCCCCAGGTACTGCCGCCGCCGCCGCCGCGTTTCGCCGGGCCCGCCCGTCTCGCTCCCGGCTCCCCCGCTGCCTACGATTTGCGCTCTTGGACTTGAGTGGGCGGAGCGATATTCCCTGCCTGCCTATTGATTTCTCCATATTTCACCCCGATTCACTAGGGCATCACTAGCATGCAATTCGTATAATTGGGATTCCCATTTTCATGATTTTTCTAACTGTTTTACTCATGATAAATGCACTTCTTTCACGGATGGGGAAATTGGGTGGATGCGATTTGGCCTCCATCTCGTGGGTGCTTGAAATTTACAGTATAGGAAGTCCAAATGTAGGATCAAAACTAAACTTGATACTAGTAGTAGTAGTGCAGGGTTAAATTGGAATTCCTGCCTGGTGGTTTACTGTACTTTATAGAGTGTCTCCTCAGAGTTGGGATTGATTTGCACTGACAACGGTTTCGATTACAAGTTATTCCGAATTACCAAAATAAGCTCTATATTTTATTTTGCCCGCAGGATCTGTCCCATGAGGTTAAAACTGTAGATGTCTACTCTTCGATAAGCTGTCTGGATCTTCGTACTCTCGCTGTGCTGACAAACTCCACCCTGTCCAGCTCAAGGTTCTGTTTCTCCGTTTTATGTTTATTTCAGTAATTTTGCTGTGAGGAAATTAACACGATAACAGAGAGCCTTTAACTACCAGAACTTTATGGTACCTGCTGTAGAAAAATGTCATCCTGCATCATAAGATTCATGATTATTTCACATTTCCATGGACAATGGTGACTGCAAAACATAAAGTGATAAACCACCCCTTTGGTATTGGATAGTTTTACCTCTGCTCATTGCAATACTACGGTATAGAACAGAATTAATGACGTAATTGTGGCTTTACGTATTTTTTTAGTGTTCTATGTAACCAACATGTTTCTTTTACTTTTTTTTACAGTGATCCGCATCATGTATCCTTCAATTTCTTGATACCTGAAGGAGGCAATGATCAAGTGCCCTACTACAAGATAAAAGCAGTGCTACCTGATTCAAATATTACTGTTACTAGGTGAGCGCACAAATTAAAATGGTCACGTATCGTTGGAATTCTCGCGTCCTCATACTTGTTACCTTCAGCCAGAAGAAAATCAAGGATAAGCTAAATCTTGCCACTCCAGAAGGAAACTTTTTTGTGTCATTCCCCAATGAACTGTCACCAATCGTTATTGCAAGGGCTCTCTCACGAACGAGATATGTTTATATCTCAGCAGACTCAATCATAAAGGTACTATGCATATATCTGATCTATTTACTCAGCTTATTATGGGACTGCCCGAGAGATAGCCATTTGTCCCATTAAAAAATTCTGCCAGAAGATAGTTTTTTTATGTTGCTGGTCATATGGCTTGTTTGCTCTCTTAACAATTTAACTTATGATGATAGCGAGCGGTCATATTGCCAGGGTTGTGAGTTCTTTGATAAATTAGGCATAGCTCCATGGAAGATTTTGAGCACGAATATCCAGTTATTAAACACAAAAGGCATAACCTGTCACGTCCAAGTATATAGCAAAGTATGCATTTTCTCAGTATCTTCGGGTTACCTTATGTGAAATGTTGCTCTTACGTGCCCAGGGCAAAATTGAAGACCTTGTTCGCATTGATTTGGGCAGTTATGCGGTGGGTGCCTCTGAAGATTGTAGCAAGTGCCTTGGAGATTACATCAGTATGGATGTTCTGAATGCTGTGCAAAGAACAGCTCCAAGAGGTTTGCTACATCATACTGTAACTTTTGACAAGGACACGTGCTTCCTTGATTTTGATGTGCTTCTGGTGGAGCCACGTAATATAAAGAGGAATCTCATTGACTCTATCGCCTTTTGGACCAAGGCTGTCAACCTAGCTAATCAAAGGTCAGTGACTCAGATTCTGTTCTGGGCAAAAATACCCATCGTGAGCATGTATTATAAAATCATACTTATTCACCTAGGTATATGATAACACCATTCCCGTTCCTGCCAAACATCCATTTTCAGGGACAGCGTTATGTTGGCAATGACTCTGGCCTTCTATAACGATTATCTAAAGCTCCCTACCAACTGGAAGCGCGCAGACACTAACACAGACATTCTCTACTATGACGGACCCAAGAATGTTTGCGCTGAAGATGGCCGTCAGCACCAAGAAAAAGGCTCGGGCGAGATCTGGCAGCAGTACCTTGGTCCGAAGTCCGACTCGCTGTTGAGCGCCTGAAAGACGGCATTTCATCCTATGTTCTCCACCAGTGGAAGATCAGCATTTGAGATAGGGCGTTCAACCTTTCAGCTGTAGCACAGGATATAAGAGGACGCGGGTTACCTATTAACGTATCACACATACCAGTGAAAGATAGCATGTTTTTTTGTTACCAAAGGATCACCAAAATGTTGTGCTCAGTAAACTGATTTCGTTCAGGCAAGTCAAACCCATGTCTTATCTGTAGAAGAATATTTTAGAAGCATATAAGCACATCTTTTGTCTGCATTTCTTTTGATGTCAAAATGTTGAGATAAGAAGTGACACCCCCAAAGGGAAGGGACCGACGATGCGCGCTGTCGGCCCATCACGCACGCACGCGCTGATGAGCTCCAGCTCCAGGACTGAACTGCTGTTGCAGCTCCGCTGGAGACGGATTGAGCCTCCTCTGCGTCCCATCTTCCTCCACCAAGGCAGTGTGAAGAGAGCAGCAAGGCCAGGACCTCTCCCTGCAGATCTGAGGACCAAAAGGCTTATTCTTCGGGTAGCCTCCCCCTTGGGCTCCCATGGCAGCATCACAGAGAGGAGAAATGCCACCACCAAACGCCTGGCGCGACCCGCACGCTCCGACCAAGAACTCCACACAACTGGCATCACACCATACGCCATCAAGACAAGTCCTATACAAATACGAAGTGCTCCCTCCATAAGCTAATATAAGAGCATTTACATCACTATTTTAGTAATCTAAACGCTCTTATATTAGTTTACATCACTATTTTAGTAATCTAAACGCGGAGATGGTGGCGGCCACCCACGTCGGCAAAAATCAGTGGCGGGCGGGCACCCACGTCGACAAACAGCGACGAATTCCAGCGGTGAGCAGCGCACGACGTTGATGAAGACAGAGACGATTCCCTCGCTCCCGAGCGTCTCGGCTCGATTCCCTCCGTGCAGACGAAGAGGACGACGAGACAGAGATTTTGAGGGTTGGTTTGAGGGCACTGATCTGCGCCGGGGATTTTCGGCCTTCAAAACGACATTTTCTCAGCCCTCAAACTGGTTTTGAAGGTTGAGTTTTGAGGGCTCTGTTAGACATGCTCTTAGATCATTGTTGTACTAGCGAATCGTGCTACGGCTAGCATTCATTACTAGTTTTGGCCTCAGATTGAGAATAACCTATAGTTGGCAAGCTCATTTGGGAATTGGGACGACTGTGATCCAGCTAAAAAGCAAAGGAAACATCAAACATGGTCACCAATACAAGGTCTTGTCAAACCTCGGGAGCAAAGCACTAAGGCTCACACGGGAAGAGCGCAATCACTAGGTAAACCTATGTAGAACATACAATGGACTCAAGAACAGCTCCAACCCTTCTTCATGGCCGTGCGCCGCACCTAAAAGAAAGGCATAAATAGTATACATTTTGTGATATTTGTACAACACAATGACAAAATGACCTGAACTACAAGTTGTGTAGAAGATATGCATAACACTCCGTGTTCCCGTTGCCTATCATTCGTAACACATTTTTCCATTGTCTCTGCCAATGTGTTGGAGCAATAGTGTTGGCACTGAATTTACAATTCCTGTGAAGGTAACAACGAGGAAACTACTTGTATATGTAAGAGGTTGAACTCTAGTGTATATGTAAGAGGTTGAACCCTACTCATATTACAAGAGTTAGCGCGAGTGGTTGTGACATTTATCGCTACATGTTTGGTTGAAGGCTTGAATTTTTAGTGCCAATCATTTAATTGGCTCTAGTTATGGAACAAATACCCATTTCTCTTAAACTTCAGTTTTTTTTCCGAATCACTTGGACCTCCAGCCATCCATACTTGTTACCTCTTATGTAAAAAGAAGTCAAGGTTAAGCTAAATGTTTCCACTCCAAAAGAATACCTATTTTGATCATTCCGCGATGAACTATCAACCATTATCTCTACAACTCAACTCTTGTGAAAGAGGTATATCTATATCTCAGCAGACTCAATCATAAAGGTGCTATGCATATATAGCATCCCTCAAAAACTATGCATGTAGTTGATCTATTTACTCAAACCTATTACACACTAAATTTCCCAATAGATATATAACCATTTATCACATTAAGACTTTTCTGCCAAAAGATAATTCTCTCTTGTTGCTGGGATATGGCTTGTTCATTATCTTAATCATCTAACAGTGAGCAGCAATTGGTAATAATTTATATAGAATGCTCCAAAGTAGTTAATAATAATGTTTTGAAGAACGTGTTGTCAAGCATTTAAGCTGCCATGTCCAACTATATGCACCAAAGTAAGCATTTTATCACTATCTTTGGATTAAAGTTGAAGACCTTGTTCACATTGCTTTAAGAAGTTATGCCATCGGTGCTACTGAATAGTGTAGCAAGCGCATTGATGATTACATCAGTATTGATGTTCTGAATGTTGTTCGAAGAAGAACTCCAAAGGGTTTAGTATATAGTATATTGAACCTTATGACAAGGACATGTGCTTACTTGATTTTGATGTGCTTCTCAAAATAGTCTGAAGAAGAATTTGATTGACTCTAACATGTTGCGCCTTAGGTTTGTCAACCTAATTAAAGTTTAGTGCCTCCATTGTTCTTTCTGAGCAAAAATATTCATCAGCAGCCACTACAGGAATCAGCTGTTTTGCCGTCTGCGACGACAAACGGCAAAGGACCAGAAAGCGGACGGCAAACCTCTTTGCCGTCAGCCGCGGATGGCAAACCTGCCCGGCCCTGTAAACACGGGCAAAGAGCTGATTTGCCGTCTGCTTTTTGCCAGCGGATGGGAAAGACCCCTTTGCCGTCGGTCGTAGACGGCAAAGAAGGTGGACGGCCACTACAGCAGTGTCGTCCACTGGACCCCATCCATCTCTTTGCCGTCCGCTAGCTGACGGTGGACGGCAAAGAGCTGACTGATGGCAAATAGTATCTTTGCCAAATTCCCTGAATCTAGTACTGAGCATATATTGTAAAATCACATTAAATTCACCTAATGTGTGTTATAACACCATTTCAGTGTAATCTCTGCCCAAGGTAGGAGATAAACTCATGCACACAAGATAAAAGAAGAGCACACAAGAGTTTTGGCACCGCACAACTTGTGCCTTTTTTGACTCTCTTTCTCTTAAGCAAATGAATTTGTTACACGGCCTATTAGTAGTGCACGTACACAAGCCAGTCACACCACGACTAGCTCCACTAGCCGGTACAAACTGCCACTAGTAATCCCATGACTTGGCCACACGACTCGGCCGATCTCCCCACGTCTTGGAGATAAGGACTGATTACTAAGATCACTTCTAAGCCAATCTACCAACAAACTCTATCCATGCATGTACGTGTGATTCACTCCTTCTACTATCCAGGCTTGCAACTAACTAACTCTTGGATGCAGACTCACACGCATACTTGGTGCCATACATGCAGGGCCGACCCACAGATATATGGGGCCCAGGGGCAAGATAAGAACAAGGGGCCCTTCTTGACAAACAAAAGCTAAGTTGTTCTTCGGAAGCAAAGTAAATATAGAGTACATAGCATATATTGTTGATCTTGGACTCTAAGACTGAGAATACTACTATTTATCTATCATGATATTAATGAAACAATATAGCGCCAGAAAAGATCAATTTCCTAATTGTCAGTGGACACATCTTTCTTTTTGGCAAAACAAATAGCCTTGTCAAAACTGGTTGCAACATACTCCCTCCGTAAACTAATATAAGAGCGTTTAGAATACTAAAGTAGTGATCTAAACGCTCTTATATTAGTTTACAGAGGGAGTAAAACATTTGTGTTTCCATGAGAAATAAAACTATTGCCTGAACTTACATTTGTTTCTGGATCATCCCCGATCTACCATGCTCTTCACTCCAAAATTGTTTACTCAAAGAATAACTATCCTGCATAAGTCATAGTAAAGCAAAGCACGCTGAGTATTTCATGTTTATAAACTAACTATGATGTCAAAACATGTTACTACAGGGATCAAAAGCACCTGGAAACCGATTCATGTGGATGTTGTAGGTGGCTTATCCGTACACCATAGCAGTCAACACGAACAAAAAGACACGCCTGAATTGCCTAAATTTTCTCCCTTCTCCTAATCTCCTTCCTGAAGACTCTCTCACATTTGGATCCAATGAAAAGCAGAACAAGACACATGCAGATTTAATGGATGTACGATCTGGAATCGTCTTTGCCGGAACGCAGAGATATTTGTCAATCAATCTTTGAATTGAGGAACAAGATTAGAAAGAAAGAAGAACAAGAGAACATGCATGTACCATCTAGGTCTCTCCAAAGTCCAGTTGGGGAGCAAGCCAAGCGTTGAGAGAGGAAGGAGTGCTGGTTGGGGAATGAGTTCACGCCGTAGCTTTCCATTAAAGGCCGGCCGCGACGTTGGAAGCGAAGAGGCACGGGAGTGGCGGCGCCGTTCTTGGAGTGTGTGGTTTGGGTGAGCAGAGGAGTCGCTGGTCCTTGATTTCCTTTGTGCGGCTTGCCTGATGGGCTGTTCCTTGGGCCTTCTTTTTTTCCGTGTATTTTCATTGGGCTAAGGCAGATTATGATACTTACCACTACCTGGACTGGGGCCCCTGCCTCTCGGGGCCCCAGGGCGGGCGCCCCGTTTGCCCGGCCTATGGGCCGGGCCTGGTATCATACATGCACAACACCAAGCTGACACCTCTAAACACGACTAACAAGCTTTGCAATGTGTACATGTGACCACATTTATAAGTGTGCACATGCCGCAGCTTCATCTACATGCAAGACTCGGAAATGAAACATGATAAGAAACTAAACAACAATGGTTAACACCAACATTCAGGTCCTGTCAAACATACATTCTCAGGGATAGCATCAGGTTGTGTTGAACCATTATGGGCTTGCCCATTCTCACTTAAACCCATGTGGGCCAGGCCCATGGCCATGACCTAGAAGAGGACATGTCATGTTAAGTTGTGATCCAAATTCATATAAAGTATAAATGCTAACTTCTGG